AATCTCTTGAGTCTAAAAGAGATACTAAATTTCAGACAATAGTGATTAAATTTAAACTTATCAATAGTGATTAAATTTAAACTTATCAATAGTGATCTGAGTTTTATCATGACAAAGACGTAAGTCTTTCTCAAGTTGAACCATAGCCGGGAATCTTCGCTCAGCAAGAAGAAGCAACCAATAAATTGACGTCAGAAAGTTACTATTGAAAACGGTAACTTGTCTCAATGCAAAATTAGTAAAGTATAGAATGCGGCTATCTCTATGGTGTTTCGAACACCGGTTGCGTGAGGCTCGCATGCCTAGTGCATAACTCTAGGCTACCAGGTTCGATCTAAGCCTGTGAATCCAAAAAAGGCTATAGGCAAGTATTTTGACGCCCATTCACTGTTGAATATCAATTCTAGTTACCTTATCAATGTAAGTGAATGCGAATGAAAAAAGTCAAGGCCTAAATCGAAATATAGTTTACAGTCCAACAACAAGTGATTAACCTGAGATAAAGGTATATGAATTTACTCACCTTTTGCTCATGAATGCAATTGTAATTAATGCATGGCCTAAGGAAATTTATTGAGCTGCCCAGTTATAGGACCAAACATGAAACCTAAGAAGCTAAGGCAACAAAGGAGCAGTACTTAATTAGTTTGCTTATGCATAATTAGAGAATAGCTCGACTAGTAATGACATAATTTGTATGCATTAAAAAGTTAAAAATAAGTAGAAATAATATAAATGAAAGAATTAACCAGATAAAGGAACTATAACCCACAGAAATACAAGCATTACAATGCTTTTTTGCAAGCCGTGCCTGGCGGTCATAGCGCAGCACCTTGACTAGAACCAGAGACTGCTGGCTTTATGAGTGGACGAATCGCCCCAACGTTTTCGGCTGTGACGACCGAAGTTATTAAAACGAGGGCCCACATTGATTTGGTACTTTCTGATATATTCAAAGAGCTTGCCAACACCAAGTAATTTAGCTATACATTCCAAATGATCACTATTATAATGATCGTGAAAGAATGGTCTTTTCTTTAATATCATGCCAGTGAGTATACAGCCAAGTGGCCATGTCAGGAGAATAATCATACATCAGAAAAAACACAAAAGTAAATGATTGAATATTCCTAATATCGAAAGAAGTTACTCAAACACTGATATACCAACTTGATAGTCACGTGGAAGCTCGAGGCCACCTTCGAGAAGTGACAAAATTCGGCAAAACCCCAGCCGGTGAGACGTAGCTTTCAGCGCGTAGCGAAATATCTACTTTGCGTTCAGAATTGTCTAGCATATCGTTAGGCGGCTTGATATCCATGTGTATCATTCGTGTCGTCGTGTCGGTAAACGATAGGTAAAGTTCTTTGAAATGTGTATTGGCCGCACCCGAAGATGAGAGCTGGGGTTTGGCATTACAAAAAACGTCTTCCAATCCAAGAGCACAAGCGATTTACCACAGGATCCTTAGTGGCTGCGAGCTATTTGACAATATTTGTAACACCTCGGAGATCCTCGAAGAATTTTATATCGCGCTTAATCTTTTTATTCCTAATAGGCAGAAGAATGCGTTAATTTCCAAAGGAATTAGTTGTGGCTCACCTTAAGAACTTTGATTACACACTTTTCGTCATCGGTGACAATAATGATCTTAAAAACTTCGCTTTTCTCATCTACCTAATTTGGAAGCAACTGCAATAAAGAAAGTGGAAGAATGACTGCCAAGAGCTCGAGGAGCCTGATGAATAAGTTCAAATTGGCCACGACGTATTACTTGAAGTGAATGAGTGAATAACGCTTGCGCATGGAATATTATGCAGTTACCGCCATTGCGCAATGTGGGCTTCGTAGTCGAAATATTCTTGAAGACTAGACCTATTGACATCGGCATAGACGCGATATACTGTGTAGGGACATTTCGTTTAAAATAGGCAGAGAACGCATTAAGTTGATTCCAATAATTACTACGAGGTAATTTAAAGTACAATGAGCTGCTATATAGAAAATAGACTGATTAAACTTTCGTCATTAAGAGAGCGAACGAAAAAGCAGAAAATGGAGCATATTATTTATGGCTTTAATGATTGCCTCCTGTACATCGAAAGTGACCACAGAGCCGAGGCCAACTCCATAGCCGTCCGCTAAAAACGGTGAGAAATGATGCAACGATAACAATATCAACAGACAAGAAGGGTCAAGATAATAGAAGGATTTTGAAGCAAATAAAATTCCAAGTTCTAATGCTAAGTTCAATACAAGGCAGGCTTTAAAACGAATGACACGCAATTTCGCAAGTTAAAAATGAAGCAAACCGGGATCAATTTGGAAAGTTCATATTCATGATTGACAAATTTCAAAGTGGACAATTAATAGTGCTCTCACAAAAAAATCCACCCAGGGGATAGTTTATTATCGAGATAATTGAGAGTATACAATGTGAACGAGGGGCATACAGCACTATCAGATTGGTCAATACACATGGGAAGAGCGCAGTGTTAAGGTTGAGGTGTAAGCTTGACCCATTACTTACATATTTTCGTATACAATATAAAAATATCTAATTCAAGAGAGCATACAAGAAACAGGAAAGGCTGGATTCAAATTATGAATCCAATGGAGATTTAGACAGCCTGTCGCAATCATCCACCAAATACTTGCCATATTTCAGGATTGAGGCAACTCTTCAGTGGTAGGAGAGCTTACTGGAGCAGAAGCTATATGAAGAGATTTATTAATAGTAATATTATGCACATCGTATAAGAATTTTAGTAACAAATTAATTACCTTTAGCTTCCGTCTTATCAGGAATTGCATGCAAGGGATTGCGTCTGTTGTGCTCATTTACTATAGGCTCTAAGAAAGAATAGGTAAAGAAACAGGATAGAAAATATTTGTTTATATTTATGTAGCATTTTACTCACTGAAATAAGGATGCTCCATAGCTTCTCTCGCAGTAAGTCTTTCCTGATGGTCATAGCATAAGAGCTTATCAACAAAGTCGATAGCTTGAGGGCTGACTAAATTATCATTTTCTGGGGTAATAAAGCGTTCCCAACGCCGTCTGACATGTCTACCAAGAATATCACTGAATCGGGAGTCCAAAGTGATACCATATCTTTCGATGTAATCAAATAAATCTTTTGTTCCGAGAATACGAGCTATTCGGACAAGTTGGTCGTAGTTATCGTGACCATGAAAGAACGGCTCTTTTTTAAATATCATACTCGCAAACATGCAGCCAAGAGACCACATATCCAATGAATAATCGTACATCTAAAAAAAGTAGGTTGTCATTATGAAGAATGGAAATAATAAAACAAATATATAATTACCTGATAATCAACGAGGAGCTCAGGGCCTTTGAAATAGCGAGAAGCTACGCGTACATTATACTCCATTCCAGGGTGATAGAATTCGGCAAGGCCCCAATCAATGAGTCGCAACTAATTTGCAAATTTTTTGAATGAATTGCAAACCTTTCTTTGGTTGTGATCAATCATAACATTATGAGGCTTTACATCCCTATGCATTATGCCCATACTATGACAAGCGTCGAGGGCCTTGAGAAGTTCATACATGTAATAACGTATATCGTGATCAGTGAATTTAGCGTATAGATCCTTGAAGTCTTTATTATCAACATGTTCAAAAATAAGTGCAGGGGTCCTGGACATGGGGTCTTTTGTTACGGCTAATAGAGTTATCACATTTGTCACTCCACGAAGATTCTCCAAAATTTTTATTTCTCGCTTAATCTTCTTTTTTTTAACGGGCTAAAAATAATAGCATAAAGTAGGACAAACCTTGAGAACTTTGATCACACATCTCTCACTGTTAGTTACATTAATGCCTTCAAATACTTCACTGTATTTCCCCCTACCCAGCTTCTTCACAATTTGGTAATTATCCGGATCTCTGAAAGGTTAAAATTGAATAAACAATACTTCCAATCAACAGTATATGATTCATAGTCCCAATATTCACGGGGACGATTTACATTGACGTCAGCGTAGACCCGGGCCTTGCTTATAGCTCTCATGCCACCTGTAACACATGAAATAAGTGTTTTCATGCGAGTAATTTTGGTCAGCAGAAAGTAAGGAGAGAAAAATTGGCGTGTTATCACGGGACAGGTGAGAAGTGATAATGAGATAATTTAGGTATATTAATTTTCAAGATAGTGTAATGTATAAAGTGAAATATGTTATGGCAGAAAACTCATAAAACACTTACGGAATGGTGGACGAGGAGGAATATATAAGCGAAGGTGCCAGAAAAACGAAAGCGTCACGGGGCGGACAGTTGGCTTTAAAACGCTTGTGACCGTGCCATGCCAGAGTAAGGCGATAAAAATTTTAAAACAGTATTAAATACTTAAAAAAATATATATTATACATGAATAATATGCACTGTATGCAATATAGTTTAACTCATGATTACCAAAAGATGGCAATTATTATTCAGGTAGACTAACACGGAGAAACGAATGAAAACGATCGTCAAGATAATTTTTTCAGCAAACGAAACGATGAATTGAGCAATGGATAAGTACTATATATTACAGCAAATGGTATATAAAATAATCTAATAGTGATTATGAATTTATTGATCCTCTCATTTACCATTGGAACAGATACACTTTTATTCCCCCTTATTTCTATGTATACACATATTATGTTATAAAACCAGTTTATAACAAATATTGGTGAGCTAGCTAGCATATTAGTGAACTCCAGGCAAGGTGCGTTTATCTAAGCCTCTTTAATAACAAGATCAAGATGCTAAATCGAGGTTGAAACGTTAAAAATAGTGATATAACCTTAAGAAAATTTTGTATAATATAGCTTTTCTCTCCATCTAAGGACCGTCTTATAGTTAACTTCCAGATGACTTCATGTCCTTTCTAGGCAATGATTCCTGCTATTTATGATATCTTCGTATACGTGCTTCTGTGATGTGCTAACTTCGCACAAATAAATCAAGTGACTGCGGATGGCGCTTGGATTAGAGGCAGTGATGATTAATTGGTTGCATCTTCACTTAAATCTTCCACATTTTTTAGCCGGAAATATTTACTCCTACAAGTGTATTTATATGTACGTATGATGTGAGCAAGAAATACTGAAAGGATGTGTTAAATGCAAGAGCCATAACCACATTGAAAGCTATTAAGATCTATTTTTGCTCGGAAATACATCCCACTTTCTTTCTCCCTCTATTTTTATTCAACAGACATGGGTAGCTTTACTCGATTTTGTACATGATTCTATTTATTAGAGTTAACTTTCTTATTTATATGAACCAGCCAATCCTCTTCTTGTGAATTCACCACGCTGCTAAGCCTTTGGATTCATACAAGTATAACTTGTACATGTGTAGGCCACATGCTTGGCAGTCATGAGCTTCAGGCCCATGGACCTTTGCGGGCCGTATTAGGTTAGGATAATATCTTATGTATGGATACGCAGATAAGTAATTACATGAGCATATCATGGCAACCTTGGCTTACGTCATTCTACTTCCCGGTATCTTTAACTGATTACCAACTAATCTTAATTGATGAAACTCCTCTACTAAACTTTTCCTCAACTTATCAGAGATGATCAGTATCTACGAGATGCAAACTTCCTATAATCATTTATTCCTTGTTCCTAATTTAGCTCTATTAGCATATTCTAAAATTAAATTTAAGAGATAACCTGAATTTGTGAAAATAATCTAGTATGAATAGTGAATCTGAGTAAAGCCATGCAAATGTGATCATATCCCACTAAGTTCGTTATGAAGGGCTTATATTAGAAATTATAATAAAGATGGAATGAGCGATTAAATAGGTA